CTGCCATTATTTTGGTCAACTTCCAAAGTGGATATTTCTTTATCAAAAGCATAAATTGACTTGACACGCCATCAGGGGTTAGGGACATATAAGTACTATTGATTCATAGCACTTTTAGAAAAATCAGACATGTTTTGGATTTCCGGCCAATTTTGGAATGATGCTGGGTGTGACCAATATGGCTGCCATTATTTTGGTAAAGTTTCAAAGTCTATATCTCTTAATTAACCCTAAACAGTACACCTGGGGTCCGCGCGGACCCCAGCACTATATATTCTGTAATATCTTTTTTTGTTTCTAAAGATTTTTTTCTGAAATTTTAGGTAATTGTCACCCACAAAGTTGTCTATCAATACAGTGCAGAAAACTCCGTTTCTACCATTTTATAAAAAAATTATATCTGATTTTCTTTTGGGGTCCGCGCGGACCCCAGCCGGCTTTCGATCATAATGGATACACTGGCGTTCTTATACATTACCTTATTTCCGTTTTTATATGTTTTTATGCATTCATCGTATGTCTACCAAGTTTTCAGAGAATGGTGTAGTAATAGAATTAAATTTTAATAACTTTGGTGTAATTATGACGTCATATGACGTCAGAGCTAATAATATAGTCCGCCATATTGGATTTTGACCAATGACGTCATCAAATTAGCATATTCTATGCATATCAAATGATTAAACTTATATTTAATTATGTAAGATGTTATAAATGTTGGAAAGAAGTGTAATTTTATATAAAACTCAGAAAATGTTTTATGTTTAAACCAAAATTACTTCTATTTTCAAAAAACTACCCGTTGCCATGACAACACAAAAAAACATCAACTTACTAGTATAAAACTAATATGAACTTTTTTCCAGAGACATTTTAGGAAAGGTCTCCAAATTTGATACTTCTAGCGCAAGCCGTTTAGCCGCTATCTGAGATCAAAGTCTGGCCTCAAAAGCCCCTTCAGTCTGAAATGGGTTTAAAAATCGGGTATTTCTTCTTGTCTTCTTTTCTTCACCAAAAAATAGAAAAAGTTCAAAATGTATGATTTTGTATGTAATGTGGACACAGAGGTTCCCACATCAGTTTGCAAAACAATTGAGCTGGTAGCATGTTGATAATTTCTAAAAATTAGCAAAAAACTGCTCTGGGGTCCGCGCGGACCCCAGGTGTACAGATTAATCAGTCCGGGAAGGTGTTCTGTTGAGGGTTAAATTGAAGCTTCGCCCCCTTCTCTTTCACAACTCCTTACGTCAATCTCCCCTATCTATAAGATTTCCTTTTTTATCAGGTTCGTTTTTGAACCTCCTTGATGTAACGTAACTATTAACCCGGCTAGCAGAAGCCGTCGGCTCCTTTATTACACTCTCCTCTTAACATCCAAAGACCCTTTGTTTTCCTCCGTCTTAAAAAAACCCAGTGGTTTTTCTACCAGTACTGTTCTCTGTACTAATTGTTTTTTATACCTTTTTTTCGTCTGTTTCTGCAATTAGCGTTCAGGCATGGATTTGCAATAAAACATCTTATATTACAGCCCCGCCCTGTCGGTGAAGGTTGTGGAAAATTGTTGATAACGATACCGTGGCGCACGCGCGCTGACAATACACATTACATGTTAAACGCGTTTGTTTTAATACTTGCGAGCGCAGGTCATTGACCTCCGGCTTGCGTTGTTCTAACAGAGAACAGCAAAATGTTTGGCAGTTTTAGCGTCAGATTTTTGTTTGTTAAATCATACACAGACATCGATAAATCTATTATTCATCCAACTAGTTCTTAGTTATGTGAGATGCTTATTGGAATCACACGAATCGGAACAAACCCAGTATGAAATGGTAAACATCAATCGCTAACGGCAGACACCGCGTGGACCCGCCTCGCAGATACCCCCCCCCCCGTATTTTCCCTCTCTACCTTCATGTCGAATTTCATGTTTTTATTTTTACCCCAAAATAAAGGAGTTGAATCGATTTCAAGAGGTGGCAGGAGAAGAAGGAGGAGAAGGAGAAGAAACGTGAGCAAAAAAAAATGACATAATTACTGAATTTGCCAACATGCCTGTAAAAAATATAAAAACACGTTTTTCATTGTAGTAAAAAAACCCAAGCTTGTATGCTTGAATTTTTATTTAATTGCGAAATTGCATACCATTGTGTCCAATTCGAGCGAGTAATGGATGTGGATCGAAGCCCACCGCTTTGGCGTCATTGGTAGAGGCAAGAAATATATTTAACACGGCGTCGTTAGCGTATATTCCTGAAATGACATCAGAATAATAAGTATACTTGAGGAGAAAAATGACAGTATATGACTTGTTTGCGGATTAAGGATCCTGTAAAGCAAATATTTGTGTTTGAAAGATGTGTGACCATCCTACTTTAAGTATCTGATCACCAAACACCGCCACCCGTTCTAGCCTCTAGGTTAGGGTCCCCTGTCTTTGTGTGCTTAATGGATGCCTCTGAAGCCTTTGATCGCGAAAACCACTGGACAAGGCTTAGAAAGTTGATCGACAGAAATGTTCCGCTATATCTAGTACGATTCTTGGTTTCCTGGTATACGAATCAAAGAATGTTTGTGAGATGGGTGCAGTCATTTGCCCCAGCTTCTCCGTTACTAACGGAGGGGGGGGGGGGG